AAAGACCTTAACGCTCACCATGAGCGGCTTAGGGCGGGGAAAATCATCCGTCACCGACTGTGGCGTCATAGACGCAAATGATGCAGACATCATCAGCTGCAGGTGCTCTAGCCGCGTGTTTTTGTAACTTGAATACGACTTTAGACGCGCACCGATTGCCTCGGTACTTGCGCTACAAGGTGTTCCACGACCTCAGGGCCAAGCAAGGACATCAGCTTGTTAAGTTCATCCTGCATGCCCTGGGGCAAAGAGGAGAGTTCCTACATCCTCACAGAGGGATCAGTCTAAGCAACTCAGGTGCAGATTGACTACGAGTGCTACCAAGTGCAGCGGGGCTACCGTAGCTTAGCGCTTGGGGAAGCGTAATATAGGCCACCGACCTTTTGTTCGATACTTAGAACAAGTACGAGTTAGCGGATCACAACTGCTTACTCCAAGAGTAATTATTGCCTTCCCAAGGCTAACTGACTCTTCGATTTAAAATCCAAAACCGATTTTTATTGATTTTTTATCCCTAATTTTAAAAGCTCGGATTTTTCTAAATATACTAAATATATATAGTAAGATCTAAATACATGCATAACTACTGGATACCTAGCCACATACCGTATTCTTGTTTAGTCAAACCATGCACATCTTGTGTGATACACCCCTATTACCAGGGTACGTGTAACCCCGTTACAGGAGAAAGCAGGAAGCAGTTCGGTGACTACAGTAGGACTTATGTTCGAACTTTGTTGCCCTCAGTTAATGTTAGGTAATAGGCGTGACAACTTGCATAATTTCCATGCCGAACCGGCTGGCTTCCTTTCGTGACTTGTGTCTCTGTAATCTATGACCTAAATTTGGTTCTGTGAGTGTGTGAGAGGCTATGAACGTTTTAGATGCCCTACTCGAAGGTGTTCAATCACCGTCTTTACATTTTTTATTTGCGAATTCGGAGGGGCTGAACTGCTTCGTCATACTTGGTGCACGTGACAGCAGAACTCATTGATAAAATTGGCTGATGGGAATTGTTTAAAAAAGCCACATTTTAGGGAAAAAATGTTGTAATTTATAAGTTGTCTATTCTAGTCGCTTTTGAATTATGTGTGATTCATTGGTCTGGATAACAAAAACATATCAATAGAAGAGTGGGGTTAATATTTAGTTGTTATAGTGGAGCACTTACACTAGCTGAAGAAATGGTGCTACGACTTCTATGGCAGGAAGCCATTCTTTCATCACCCGAATACTAGTTTGATCATAATACACCTCGGCGTATAAAAAGTATACTGTTCCTTAAAAGCCGTTGGAAGCTGTGCAATGAGACTTTGTATCCTTTTTTCTCCTTCTGTCAACACTTTCGGCTGTTTCGCTGGTTCTCCCATAGTATCAGGTAGTTGTGTCTTTCCTCTCTTCAACACTTTCGACTTTATATATATCACTAACCTTCGATCCCACGTGTTCGAGCGGTCATACAACACCTTGAGGTAAGTGTATGGATGTAACTCGGTATCCACGAGTTGTTTACGAGTATACTTGTTCATCAACGCATTCTCAGCAGCTTGTATCTTTGAAGGTTCGAAGGCACTATTGACGATTTCCAATTTTGCTAGATCTGAAGCAGTAGATGGTCCTCGTTCTTCGCTAGCTGGATGAGTACGGCAGCGAATCAAAGGCGGTTTGTCGCTCGATGAAGCAGCCGATGCTGACAAGTGAACCCACTGGTTACCCACAAACCTATCACGACATGGCCCCGAATAAGCTATTGTGACAGTAGAGCGGCAGTTAATCGACTGGAAGACGCACGCATTGGGGTAAGTTTTGTTGTCGAAACTGCATACAGGAGCGTCTTCGTCTTTGCATAGTGCCTCGGTGCACGGTAATGTGTTGTGACGAAAAATGATAGCGTTTTCGTGATGCTTATTGTCCACAGAGGCACCAGCACAAGACGACGTAACAGTCGCAGCAACAAATATCGAAGTGACAGAGAGCTTCATGCTCAGCTTCGTTGGAGTTAATGGAGTAGGGAGTTTAAAAATGAAGACCTCGGGCAAAAACCACGTCAATCTGCGACAGTTTGTTGCTCAGCATCAAGATTCTTGAAGATCGTGCTGGAAAACCACCTGGGATAAGTACCTTGTCATATACAGATGATGCAGCCTGACACTTTGGTAAGGAGTAGAAAAATTGAGCAGCTGCGAGTATATATGCATCAAGATACTTTAGTACTCTATAAAGTGGCAGTCAGCACACTCGAATTCATAACTTGTACCCGTAATGCCGATCGAGGTACATCCGGTCCTTGTAGCTATCACGGAATGGTGAGACTTTGCACTCGATGCCAATCTTGAACGGCACGCTGCAAAACTTTGCTACCACAAAAGCTGTTGCCATTACTGCAATGAGAATAGATGGTAATTCTTGTCATACGTCTTTGTTGGGATTACACT